AGATATTTGACCTTCTGTGAGAACTCGTATCTCCGTTACTCCCCAATTTTGATCAGATATATCTTTCTTATCTTAATGAATGGGACGATAATGGACTACACTGGGTTTATTGAGAAGCATTTTCTTAGGGCTAATTTATTTTAATGTAATTTATTTATATTTTTTCATTTTACATTTAGATACATATTTATGTATATAAATTAAATTTTATTTACTTCATTTTTCATTTATTTAATTTAATTTCTTTTAATTTATTTTTTTTTTATTATTTTTTCTTGTTTTATTTTAATGAAATTTATTTTATTTATTTTTTCGTCCTCAATTTTATTAATTTTCTGTACTATTCATTTAATTTAATTTAATTAAACTGAATTCATTTCAATCTGATAGAGTTTCATTTCATAATTTTCATAATTTTTTGTTATTTTATTTTTTCATTTCATTTTATTTGATTTATTTTTCTTTGTTTTTAAATTTTCCAATTTTACATTCATTGTTTCTTAGTTATTATTATTTTTTTTTAAGAGAAGCACACGGTGCTATATTACTTCTTATTTTATTTTATTTTATTATTAGTTTTTTTATATTGGTTTTATTTTATTCTTAATATAATTAATTTAATTTTGTATTTTAATTTAATTTAATTTTTTATTTATTTTATTTCATTTATTTAATTTTTATTTCGTTCATACTATTTTAATTCGAGTTATTTAGTTTGGTTTTTAATTGATCAGTGTTATTTCTTTATTTCACGTCATTTAATTATAATTTTTTAAATCTATTTTTCGTATTTAATTTTTTTTATCTGTTTTTCGTATTTATTTTTTTTTTTAATTAATTTTTTCTTATTTTACTTTTATAATTATTTCATTTTATTTGTTCGCATTTTTTATTTTTTCAATTCAAATTCTTTTTATTCAAATTTTCTTTTGCTCCAAGACCGCCTTATAAAACTCAGCTAAATGTCACTTTGGAAACTACATATGTATGTACGTGTGTGCATATGTATATGTTGTGTTTTTGTTGTTATTGCATTATGTATGTATATAGTTTAAAAATTGTCATGCGAGTAGCATCAGCTAGCAGCGTGTAGCCAAAGTGCGTAGCAACAGCTGCACAGCTACAAGGTTATTTGCAGCCACCGGCCCTCGATAGCCCTCCAATGCCCCACAAGTTGAGCGCCAAGTTGAGCAAAGTGCGTAAAATGCATTGGTATTGGTGCGCGTGTTAAATGTTCGCTTCTCTTACACGAATATGCAATGTAAATATGTATGTACGAGAAAGAAACTAGTTGGAAGCAGCGTTGCCGTTTTGATACAATTGTATAATTTTTGGTACTTTTTTTCTAAATTTTAAGATTTGATACTTTTTTGTTCACAAATGGGGCATTTTGATACTTTTGGTTGGCAGAAATTAATTTTTGAAAACTATGAATAATATTACTAGTTTAAAGGCAAATAATTTTTTTCTTGTTATTTTAAGTCTTAAAATTTTATTTGTATATATTTATAAGTTTGATTTGGTAACTCTTATAAGGGAAATACAGCGTGGAATTTCTTTGCACACACCGCTGTTATAGAGCCCCTGAACCACTCAAAAACATTGCGCAATATCGGGCCTGCGTCGGTCCTTTGTGTGGTGTATGGGGTTGTTTGTACTAAATTGTAGTTATTGCGCTAAAATTAAAATCATTTTGATATTTGGCTCATGCTTGTATTATTGTACAATAATTTGTGTTGCGCAATTTTTTGTCAAGTTTTTCTATTTTGGCGTTTAGATCGTTCTGCAAAATATGGATAAAGACGTAGAAAAAAATAATTTTTTTTTAAATATATAATCCTTTTTTTGCGTTTTAAAGCTGAAACTATAAAAATATACAACGCAAACTCACATATCTTGCACATATTTACTTGATCAATGTTTCTCCAAAATAAGTTTTGTGCAATTTTATTGTGCAGTAATTTCCACAATATTGACTTGTATAAATCTGGGGTTGCGCAATGATTTTGTATGTGGTTGAGGAGCCCCATAAGTTTGTTTTTCGTTATGCAAATAAATAAAATATTCTCTGTTTTTCTTAAAGCAAGTAATACTTAATTTTTTTTATAACTATGGATTAAATTTCAAAATTTTATTTATTATTTCTTTTTCAAATAAAAGATTAAACAATAACAGTTGCATTTGCTTTTGGTACGTTTTGATACTTTTTCTGCTTGACAACTGATACTTTTTGTTTTCAAGCTCGCGGCAACGCTGATTGGGAGCTGTCAAATGGCTAGCCAGCTGAATACATATGCACCTATGTATATTTATGTACAAATGTTGACTTTTGTGTCTTAGCGTGTGTACTTAAGCGCAGCCACAAATCAGCGAATAATGCAAAAAGCATTGAAAAAGCCAAAATGCTTTTCAAAAATATTGCGTATACGACGACGACGCATGTGCTAGTTGATGCGTTAAGTACTAGTATATACAAGAGTATGTATGTATTTGGCAGCATACATAAGTATGTATATAAGTACTTACTATAAATACATTTGCATTTCTGTGTGCCATCTTAAGCATACATAGGAAATATATATACTATTTAATAGAAGTAGACGTTAAGCGGTATGGCGGGGCACGCTCCCTTTTCCGTATGTGCGTAGGGCAACAACAACAACAACAACAAACATATGCGAGTACTAATTGACTACTCAACTAGCCAGCCTAGCTGTCACATCGCCAGCCCGTCAACTAGCTGCTGATTCTCTTTGCCAACTTTAGACTATTGGCCATTTATGCGATCGCAGAGCTTTTTCTAACAGCCACGCGATAGAGCTTTTTGCTGCGCTACATTAGCATTCTATTTGGTGCTGAATTTTTGTGTTGGCGATTGCGATGGCTGGTGCGTACGAACGGTGTTCTCTTGCATTCAATTTTCGTTCGTAAGTTGTCGTATGGTCGATTTTTTTCATGGTTCGTTTTCGTTGATCGTGAACTCGGCAGACACGCACTTTTTCAGCAGCAAAGCAATTAAGATTCGTACATTCATATGTGTATGTATATGCATTAATTAAAATATTCTTTGGGCGATTTTGAGATCATTACAAAGTCTAGTTGTGAATATAAAGAATTTTGATTAGATTATAAATATTTTTGCATTTTTGTTGCCAATTACATAATTTATACTTATTATAGTCATACATATGTATGTATGAACATTAGGCCGTACCGCCTTTAAAGTATTTTTGTAGAGCAATATCGAAAATAAAATTTTAATTTTTTTTTTAGCCGAACCTAGGCATCGGTGACACCTACAGTCGTCAATACAAAAAAAATAAATAAATAGTTCTACTGGAATAAGCGAAATAGTTCCCTAGCAATAGTTTAATAGTTTTTGGTAAGTTTCAATCTACTGACATTAGGGTGGTACGCTAGCGGAATACGAACTTTGATCTGGTCGGTAACTACTACTTGACGTCATTGAACTTTGGAACAAAAAAAAAATGTCTGAACGAGACAAGAACATCGATATATGATTTTCAAGATCCTTCAACTACCTTTTCGTTGAACTTCGACTGATCCATGAATAGGAGCTACCTGAGCCAAAAACTACACTCCTCCCAGTCTCCATTATCGCATGTTTTACCATAGGGTTAACAAGAATAAGGATAAAGGCATATTTAGCTAAACAAGGAATTGCTCTTCATTCAAAAAATGTTCCTTTTCAAAAGCTAAACAAAACCTGTTTCATTCATATAAAACTCTCAACGAAGAACTGCCAAACGGCACTTCAAAACGTCTTCAATTCGATTTCGTTGAGTGGATTTTCAATGCACAGAGAGGGAGCTGATCAAGTGTAGCCACTTCATTAGCATGTAATTGAAAAGAAATATCAAGTGAGCCAAGAGCTTATGGAAATATGAATAAACATATGTATATACAGGGTTGCAGAAATGTACGAGTAAGTATGTACATAAGTATGTTAAGCAAATGTCACGCGTGCTTCAAACAAAAAAAGAGAGTGAGTTAAAGCAAGAATAATCCTAACAAAATTTAGGCAAAACTCCAACCTAAAAGAAGATTTTAATTTTAAGAGAAGAAATTTGTAAACAAAAGACAGCCAAAATATGCGCATAATACTCGAACAAACAAAGTTTATGTGTATGTAAGTATGAATCATAATCAAAACAAATAAAAAGGCTTAAATATCCTCCATAAGAGCCTTCAGTGTGCACTTGAAAAGTCAAGTGTACGTAAAATAGCAACAATCAAGTCAATGAAAAAAAAGCGAGAAAAAAAATTGCATGCACGAGCGCGGCCAAATGCGCGACAAAAGAAGTCACATGTGGGAAAATGAAATTGAAAAAAAAACTGTCACATTCACGAAGACCTATTTATGTACATACATGTATATGTACCAGTACTAAGAGGGTGAAACTTTCTTGCAACACAAATTGAAGGGAAACACAATCAATTGAAGACATTGTTGCTTTTACTGCTTGGTTATTGTGGCCTCTGCTGCACGCGCGCTTACCTTCAATAACGAGCGTTTTGCATATCAAGTGCAAGCGATGAACATATGGAGCAACTCGCTCTGGAATTAGCCATTTTACCCCACACTCCACACTTTTTCCACACTCTTTCCCCTTCCTTCGTGTATTTGCTGAGACGCGCATGGCTGCATGTGCTCTGAGCACTTCGTTTTCATAACCTCTTAAAGGGTTAAAGCTAAAACAAAGTAAGCAACAACCAAACCACTGGTATGGAGAATTGGCAAAAAGCATCTTCTCTGCACCCCAAACGCCTAAGTAAACCATGAAATTAAATTGTATTCTTCGCGTGCTTGCGCCACTCTGAAGTGCACTTATGTAGCTATGACGCTGAAATTGGTTAAAAAGTACAGAAAAAAGTCTGTATTTTTTTGCTGGCGGAAAAAATACTTAATTAAGTGAATGTCAAAAGTTCTCAATTTTTCTGCTGAAAACTGCTGTTAGGAAAATGTCAATTGCAAGCGACTAGGATGAAGGCCATCGCAGCGACAGTTTATAGGAGCTGCAGTTGGACGGATGGCGCAGCTGCATAAATTCGAGAGTTGTTCTCATACAAAATTGTATCTCATCTGTATCTGTATCTGTATCTGTATCTGTATCTGTATCTGTATCTGTATCTGTATCTGTATCTGTATCTGTATCTGTATCTGTATCTGTATCTGTATCTGTATCTTTATCTATATCTTTATCTGTATCTGTATCTGTATCTGTATCTGTATCTGTATCTGCATCTGCATCTATATCTGTATCTGTATCTGTATCTGTATCTGCATCTGTATCTGCATCTGTATCTGTATCTGTATCTGTGTCTGTATCTGTATCTGTATCTGTATCTGTATCTGTATCTGTATCTGTATCTGTATCTGTATCTGTATCTGTATCTGTATCTTTATCTATATCTGTATCTGTATCTTTATCTTTATCTATATCTATATCTTTATCTTTACCTTTATATCAAACTACCAAGAGGAAAAATTCCTACCAATTTTGATAGGGAAAACCAAAACACGGCAACATTAAAGATAACATCATTGGTGCGTCACATATATGTATAGGTTGGGGGATACGAAGCAGAAATAAACCAAGCAATGAATGAATTTCTCAAGCAACCACCGTCATACACAAACTACCGTTAATTACGATGTCAAATACGGCGCTTGCATCACGACATACGATCATTGCAGTTGGCGGAGTACACCGCATGTAATCGAAGAAAAAAGGTAGAAAATGAAAAAAGTTAAAACCGACAACAAAAAAAGTTGCTTTCATAGCCGCAGAAGATTTAAAAGAGTTGCTTATCACACGAAAACAAAAAAAAATTTTCCTTTTTTCTGCTTAACGCTGCTTTGTTACGCTTACGAGAATATTCACTCCAATTAGTTCACTCGCCAGCACCGCCTTCTCTTTCTTTCTGTTCCATTCATTTCTTAAACAAAGCCAAAATTTGTAACCAGTAATGGTAACACAACGTGATGAATATGCATTTAAGCTATGTATGTATGTATATAGCTGCAAGCCCAAAGTGGCGGCGGTAGTAGCTGCCACAAGCGATGCGTGTCGCATGTTGTTGTGTGCATGTCGTGTGTTGCATACAAATAATGAGTGTCCGTCGCTAATGCAGGCAATATCGGGGTTATCTTTACAAAGATGTGGTGGGGTGTTATCCCACCACAGAACTGTGAGCTACTAAATAACTGTTTACAAGTTTTGGAACAGTGCATTGGTTTGGATCGGTTTGTGGTGAAAATATTTTGAATTTTCTATTTAAATTTTTAAAAGTTGAAAGTCAAGCTAAGATAAATAAAAATATAAACAAAAAAAAAATTAGAATAACAAAAATAAATAAAATGACAAAAAGTTGGTGCCATTTAAAAAATTACTATTGTTTGAACGTAACGACACTTTTATTTTTTATGTCCAACCTTTTTTATTAGAAGTTTTGCCATTTAATTCCTAGAGCAAATCAAACTTATAGTTGTAACTACTTACGAGGCTAAAAAAAATAAAAACTTTTTTAAAACATTTTTTGTGTTTAATGCCGAACAAGACTACATTCCTATGTTCGTAAGCACGCTCTTGCTTCAAAACTTAACCAACTCCCCAAAAAACTCTATCTTTCGAGGTACTTAGATTTGTAAATACCATGGCAAATTTTGGGAGAGATTGTTCACAGAGCAGTGACCTCTCGCTCCTCTTGTGATTTTTGTTGATTGGACTGGTTCCCCGTTGTTCAATACGCTCTCAGCGAGCTCTGTCTAAGTCCAAATAATTTTGAATAAGATTGATGAATTTTACACGTTTCAAGTCTTGTTAAACTCCCGGTTCTTGAAGGCGTAATTCTGATTGATTTTTCGTTTTCATAAAAAAAAAATACCTCCCCAGGGCAGGAAAAAAGAACACATTTTGTAGAAACGAAAACTCCTTAAGTTTTTCAGCGGAAGTAAAATATCTAAATTGAAAGCTGGCGTGGAAAACCGATGTAGAGCTGAATACAACACAAGGACTGATCGGGAGATGTCATATAACCTTTAGTAGGGCTTGGAGTCTGAGACCAGCTGTGGTGCGTACTCAGACTGATCATCGCGTATTCTGCTACAGCATGGTGCCCTGAAGTGGCTCTTAATGGTTTGATGAATTTTTCGTTTTGCCGCTAGAAGACGTAGGGAGTTTCGGGCACAGAACGAGAAAAGTTTTGGTTTTCTATTGAAAAAAGTATGCCTTTAGCTTTCCTATAAAGAAACAATGGAGAGATCTCTTGACGAGCTGGCTGGCTGATGGATTGGCAAACTGCGGCCTAGTGGCGTATTCAAATTGACCGGAGTAGTTTATTTGAACAACTGTCAGTTACATGCTATAAATCTAATCAAATCCAAGGTACATTAGTGTTAGCTTTCTAGGTCTTCAAAAACTGTGACTGTACATCACCGTTTCTGCAAGGTACTAAAAACTTTCCTACTACCACTTATTACCTTATATGCGAAAGAAAACAAAAGGAAATAGAAAATAAAGGAAAACAAAATTTTTTCGTTTGACTAATTCTATCCACATTTAAAGTTGTGACCGCGTTAATATTTATGTACATACATATGTAGATCTCCATGTACAGAGTGACAAAGCATTATAGCAAACACACATACCTACTTATTCAAAAACCAAGATATTCTTGAGAAGACGATGCTTTTCTTTGTTTTACAAGATATGCAACGAACTACCTACATAGTTATGTCGGAAACGCAGCGTGTAACCACCGTAATTAGCTAAACCAAAACAACAACTTCCGATTACACAACTACATTTTATTTCCATCTCTGAACTTGGCATTGCTTTGGATGTATGTACATAGCTAAAGCTGCTGAAGATTTCTTCGTGCAATCAAATCGTACTCGTATGCTTTTAATTAGGTATTATTAAAAAGTAATTTTTCTCATATTTTGATTGTAATTTGAAGTTGTGTGTATATACATATGCATATATACTTAGCTATTCATACCTACATAATACATGCATATATATGCATTAGGGTGTTCCTTAAAAATATCTATGTACAAAATAAAGGCATCTACAAAAAATGTCAAAATTAAAAAAAAAATAGTTCTTTAGGGGTCGCTACCAGTGTTTAATTTTTTTTTTCAATTACGAAAATCCGACAAAATTTTCTTTGGCCAGGCATAACTCGACTATAACGAGATTTATGAATTTATGTGAATATAAGTTTCAATAATATGGTAAATTAATCAGATCTCAACTCTATAATACATAATTTTTAGGTTAAAAAAAATAAATTTTTTCAAACCCTTTTTGCGACCCCTAATTTATTTATTTTTTTAATTTTGAAATTTTCGTGAATGTCTTTATTTTGTACGTAGCACAAAATAAAGGGGTGCCCCAAATAAACTTAATTGATGCTGATATTTTTAAAAACCACCCTAATACTAATGTATATACATACATACATACATACATGAGCTGTTATCAAATTATACGATATTAGAAGTGATAGTAAAATGCCTTATCAGCACATTTACGTCTACTAACGTAAAAAAAACCTTCAAAGCTACATAGATATATTGTTTTCCATTTTTTTTTGTTAGTAAAATGTACTAAATTTTTTTATAAATAGTTTTTGTTTAGTTCGATATTTTTTTTGTGATAAGCTATTTGTGCTACACTTCAGAATTCATAAAAGGCAAAAAAAAACAAGTAAGAAAGTCTAAGTTCGGGCGGAGCCGAACATTAAATACCCGGCGCAAGTATTAAATATATGTTTTTTCACCCTTCCGAAACCTTCCGCTAGATGGTAAGCCGAGGTGTATCAATTTTGAGTAAATTAGCGTCCTTCAATTTCGAAATATTGAAGTTTCAAGCATTTCTTAAATTTACCGTTATATG